AGCTCTCTCTCTCTCTCTCTCTCTCTCTCTCTGGATTTTTTGTGTTAGTCTGTAGGGTAAGCTTTGGACATTCCATGTATGATCACATTATTTATGAATTGCTCTCATGGCATTGCTGGTTTGGTTTAACTTGATGATTGGCTTGACTTGGGGGATTCTTGAATCGGTGGTCATTGATATGATCTGTACTTTCTACTTATGAACTGTACTTTACTCAATGTGGACACACGATATGTGCACTAGAAGTACAACAGCACTATCATTGGAGGGTATTATTAATATAAGTAAACTCAAATACAACTAAACTCGAACCCATTAAAATTAATATAATGGAACTCAAACTGCTAAACAGGAATCCTTGAAAAATTGATGGAAAATTAAAAGAGAACAAGTTCATAGAGATCCAGGCAGGCAGCCCAAGGTGAACCTGGGCCTAACCTGTGACCTGGGGGCCTAGATGGGGGCCTGGCCCAGCTCATTACCGAGTATCAGACCCACCCTTCAGACCTGCCACATGCCCACATTTTAGAAAGGGAGAAATTTGTATTTGTTTTTGTGCATGCAGATTCTGCTCCCATTGCTGCATTGAGTAAGCACGTGTTCCCTTGGATAAAAGACCTACTTGGTGGGTTATCTCTATCTGAAAATTTAGCATCCACTTTAGATTCACCAAAATAAGCATGTAGAGAAAATAGAAAATTAGATATTATGTTCCTAAATACTTAGATCTAATTGTCTGAAAATTGATCTGTCTGTGTTCAATGTTAGGACATTGTTTCTTTCAAACACTTATCCCAAAAATACGCCTAAAATGAGTTTTACCGGTGTAAGCGAATTGGTTGTTGGCAGGTGATTGTTGGAATCAAACTGCGATTTAGTTCTGCAAGCCGCTGACGCTGTGAGCAATGGAAGTCGTCAAGCCATAACCAATGAAGCTATCACCCACCTAGAAGAAAGAGATATTTCAGTATAGAGCTATACAGTTAGGGCTTGTCAGGCCGCGCAACCTGGAATGGGGCCTAGCTCGCTAAATTTTTTGGGTCCTAAACTGAGGCCCACTCTGGCCTGATGGGTCTTCTTTTACCTGGCCTTGTTGGACCGGGCTTGCTTGGCCCATAAACCTGTGGCATGCTTACAGCCTTACCAGGGGGTGGGGATTAGGGATGGCATTTAGTTAGGCATGCTGTTTGCATATTAATATATTAAAATATTTAAAATTTTGTATTTTAGAATGACTTGAGTATGCTGAACCTAAAATTCTGGGTATTAACTGGGCCTCTAAATTTCTTTATTAACATAATATGTATGTAGCCTTTCCGGTTGAAGTCAGGTGCAGTGTCTTATAAAATGTCAAAATTTACAAGCTCCTTTTTTTTTTCTAACCATGTTGTCCTTTTCCGACCGTGCACAAAGAGTACTGACTGTTTGTCCCTGTATTTGGTTGTAAAGATTGATGGAGGCCATTCCTTCCTCCATCTTCACGTTGACAAAAGCTGTGTCCATGCATGTTGGGGGTGGCAGGTGAAGATAAGCCTCCCTAAATGATTGGTGATGGATGCTGGCCTTTTGGTGGTTTTAGACTTGGCCCACTTCTCTTTTGTCTTTACTCCTACTTTTACATCCCTATATATACATATTGAATATGAAAGTATGCAGGTATCTTTATTGCAGCTGGAGTTATATGTCTACTGCTCTAATGGCTTATAACATTCGAATTCCGGATACAGCGTCATCTTATCAGGACTCTAGAGATGCATGCATCGATTTGGGGCTTAGTTTAAGGACTCCGTGTAAGTGTTTCTTATTGTTCGTTTCGTCTTCCCTTGGTGATATGCATTTCATAATGGTAATCGATCTTACTAATCACTGATGTGCAGTGTCATTGCTTTGAAAAGGAAGATAGCCTGAAAGAAATCAGTGAAAGCAGTTTAATGAAAGGCAGGGACATTGTAAAGTCATAAGTGTCTTCTAAATAAAAATGGGGTAAAGAGCATTTAAAAATATGTGGTACACAATTCTGCTCTTTCGTTTGTTTCTATTTATTCTTTTTAAGCACAATTATGAACTTAAACTTTAGGAGCCATTTGGCACCTTAAAATATCAGCAACTTCTAGGGAGAAGCTTGATGTAGTTTCTTGGCAATGGTTGTTCCGCAATGCAGCTGCGTTTTCTTTGGACCATAAGGCTGGTAATTATGACCTTTGACTGTAGAGCTGCATCCCCATATCCTGATCACTAAGCCAAGAGACTAGCTATGGATGCTCTTGCTAAAGTTTGAATGCTTTTTTTTTTGTTTTTTTTTTTTTTTTTTTTTTCCTATTTATTTTTTTGAAGAAAAGGGAAACAAGGTTTCTGAAATGGGGGAGATGTTTTGATTATCAATCGACATCGACGGAGTCACCATTTTCATCATCTTAGTCACATCACTATCATTGTTGTCCCTTTGCTTTTGACACCAGAATAAGACTTGTTCATGTGCTCTGTTCTAAAATAGATCTCTATGGATGCAGTTTTATCTATGTACCATGATAATCAAAGTTCTAAGGTGGGTTGGCTCCAACCAGAGTCACAGTATGGGGCCTCAAATGCAGGCCATTTGATGTCTCACAAAAAATCAAAAGGGGAGGAAGAAGATGATGGTGACTCTGAAGGAGCACAGAGCAAAGACAGATGTTGCTATGTGAAGGTGAACATGGATGGTGTGCCCTATGGTAGAAAGATAGGAGTCTTCGAACATACTGACTATTGGAGTCTTGCACTACAATTGCAAGCCATGTTTGGTATGTCATGAATTCTGATAGTCATTTATATTTCTGCTTAATCAATATTGGCACAGAAATCTTCACTCCTTGAGTGAATTTATTCCAAGAATAGAGAAACATGTTGATGATGATTATTAATTCATTTGTTTAGGTAAATACTTTGGATCTGGTATAAGATTGTTCGATGAAGCATCTGGTCTTTTGTTGATTTATCAAAGCAACGAGGGAGGTGAATGGAGATCGGTTGGAGACTGCCCATGGGAGTAATAGCCTTCAAACCTCTCTCTCTCACACACACACACATAGGCTTTCTTTGTCTAAGGCAGAAACTATAACCCCAAAGGGTTGCTTAATCAGAATGAGAGATGCACTTAACAAGATTTTACTCTCTTACCAAGAAAGGACTTGTTAATTCTTTCATTATTTAATATGCAAATAAATTCCCAAACTCCTTGGCAATAAGAACATCCTTCTTGATAGCATCCCGATGTCATTCCACAGGAGTTATACTTGATAACAGTATTTCTTTCAAAGCGTGACTTCAATCAAGACTTTGTGAAATATTTTAGATTCTGTTCGACAATTTCAAAATCCTTCCTAAAAGTTACATATATAAATTTAGTATCTTCTTCTTTGAAATATTAAATTTATTACGAAAAGTACAATATGATCCACAAGGTCATGGTAACAGCATGATTATGTGAGGTTCATTGGCGATGAAGGGGAGTGGGACAGTGTGATAAATCTATGAGTTTTCAGTAGGATCCTATTATTTATCACCCGGCTAACACATTGATGAGATGGTGATAAAGTCATGGCCATGATGTATTGTAAATATATGGATCATATCATATGCCACCAATTTACAATCTCAAAAGTGATCATCTTGGGTGACATGACTCGCTAATTCGGTGATCATACCCTTTAAGAGGGGTGACTCAACCTATTTTTGTGTCATTGTTCTATGCAATTGTACTACAATTTAATTTGTATCTGTGCTTGGCATATCTACCAAACGCAATCCGCCATGTATCTCGATTGCGACATGCCATGCCTTAATTGCATTGACCTCAAGTTGCAATGGGCTGTATGGCCCTGCTCATCCAGCCTGGCCCGGCCATTTTGTTCTATAAAACGTTTTTTTCCCTATTTGGTCCAGCCGCCTCACGGCCATGATAGGACTAGGGTGGGGCCTGGGCTGGCCTATTGGGATCAGGGCCAGGGCTTGCCCGGCCCAGGCCTAGCCCGTTTCCTTACCCTCCTCAAGCTTGAGCTTGAGCTTTACAGTGAGCTACGTTGCATGCTTGTACCAGTAAGAGCAGAAGGATTTTCTTCATCTACCACTTGAACTTGAGTTACAACAAATAGTCAAACTGAATAATCAGGCATGGTGAGCTGAGCTTGAGCTTTCGATCAAGGTTGAGCCTTCATGAGTGGTAGGGGTTTAGGAATAAAGGAGAATGAAACTAGATTCAGGGGTTCAGCGAATCCAAAGCTATAAGGTTGAGTATGGGAACATGGGGAATTGTAATCCAAAAGCTAGAATTGTGAAATCAATGAGTTTGAGGATGAAATGCTATGGATAAAGGTTGGGACATTCCTGAACTTAAGGTTGCATACCAATTGAAGGTTACATGTTCTCGCTGCTATTCAACTTGACAATAGATGGTGGAATGAACTGTTCTTTCCAGGAAGTTTGTCTTTGTCTTCCAAATTGAAAGATGAAAAATTGTTTCATGCGGCAGGGACTTCATTTCTACATTTTGCGGTCCCTGAGGTATAAAGCATCCATTTTAAAGACGGATGCAATAGGTGGTCCATCTAAAACCAATTGAAACTAATGATCCAAATGTTTTTTTAGTAAAATTATTATTTCTAATTTTTAATTTTTTTTTTTCATATTCATGATCTCCATATTAAAGATTACATGTCTTTAAAAATTAAGTCAAAAAATCCATCTCAAAAATCGATTTTTAAGAGGGGACTCATAAAAACCGTGTCCTTGAAAGAATATCTCTATTGTCTGTAGTTGAACGAGGCAATGTAGATAGCACATAGCTTACTATTGGTACCAAATGTTTCATAACTTGTGTCGGGCCATGGGCTCCGCTCCTATTCAAGCCGAGTTACTCAGCTCGAGTTGTATGCACTTCAAAAGAACCATGGAGAGAAGTTAAAAAAAAACGAATTCCCAAAAATAGAAAAAAGTCAGGTACCAAGGGGAGGGAAAGAGCATTTGATGAGGGACAGAGAGAGAGGGAGAGGAAAATCGGGGACAGATTTGGGCCCCTTTGTGTGTGTGCGAGAGAGAGAGAGGGAGGGAGAGAGAGATGAATAAGGGAGTGAATCTGCCCATCTAGAGAGAGAGAATAGGGCCAGGATTTTCTCCCCCACTTTGAGAGCGAGATATGAAAAGGTTACTTTTTAGAAAGAGAGATGAAGCCCCCATTTTGGGAGAGAGGGATACATGGGAATGGGGGGGGCATAGATTTTCTCTCTTTCTAGAGAGAGAGAGATCCAAGGGCGATTCTGCCCCCCAAACTCGCCTTAGCGCTGGGTCGAGTCCGACTTGACTCTGCCGAATCCTGAAACACTACTAGATACCCATGCATGATAGTATACAATCTCTTAAATTAACCCGTCTTTTTTAATTGTTTTTCCTTCTTATTGGGTTTTTATTGGATGGATGGATATGTGCAGGGACTTTGTGGATTGCGTTAAGCGGCTAAGGATCGCCAGGAAGGACAGTGGTGTCTCTCGTCATATTGTTTGATTATCAACATTTACTCTCTATGAAAGGCATCGTTACCCTAGTTTCATATTATGTATTTATATTTTTTTTAATTACCATTTTGGTATTCTATATAAATCAGTTTTTCTATTAAATTGAGAAAACATTTATATAAGGTGCCCACTTTATACTATAGAAATAAAGCACACTTCACAAATCTAATAGAAAAGATTGTTCAGGTTTAAATTTCATAATTAGATATGAAAATAAGTTTGAATACTATTATATGGATTTCTCGCACTTACTTTGCGCCTTACTTTGACTGCTTAAGGTGCCACCATTATACAAACCTCACCTATATAAGCATTATGTTGTAACTTCTACTATCTTTGGTTAAGCAATGGGCAAAAAAATAGAAAACAAATAACGAGGGGATTGAAGTTATGTTGCAATGCAAATGAATTAATCTATATTACTTTGCACTTGCATTGGAGGTAGGGCTGGCAACGGGCTAGATGCCTAGCCGGGTCCTGAAAAGTCTTGAAAAACTTTATTTTTCCCTTTGAATTTATTAAGCCCGGCCTAGGCTCAGGCCGGGCCTACGGGGAAGAGTGCTATAGTAGGGCCAGGAGGCCTCTTTAAAATAAATGTATATAGCAATTAAAAATTAACTTTTAACCTTGACGATTTCATTTACGCCTGATTGCTTGAAGATGATCCAACCAACTCCGCTGCAAGTGAAAAAGAAGTGTCTCCCGGACCTAACAAGTATACCGTTTGATAAAAAGAAAAAGTTTATACAAGGTTGAGGCCCTAAACAATCAAATTAAGGTGCACCTCAAAAATTCACTATAATAAGTTGTTTCAATGCCGAAAAATACTCAAATCCGATCATCTCGACCTTGAATTATATGGACATAAAAAAAAAGGGCTTCAAGTTTGGAAAATAGTGAATTTTGTAATGCATTATCTAGACCGTCAATTTTCAAGATTTTCAAATGTTCATAGATTTGTTTGATCTACACTATTTTCAAGTTTCAAATTTTATAACCAGAGATGAAAACAAATTTTCAGGCCACTATATTCAGTACTAAAACGACATCTTTCGACATTATTTAATGGTGCACATTACTTTGATTGATTAAGACCTCAACCTTAACCCTTGATAAAAAGGCCTACAACCATAGTTAGTAAATAAAAGGAATATTCAAAGAAGACATTTTCCTCATTAATAACTCTTTGAGTTCATGCACAATTACTTTTGCTGAAGCAAAATTTAAATTTATTCCCTTGGAAAAATGACCAACTCGGATCTGCAAATCCAATTATTTAGAATCATTAGATAGGTATTAAAAAAAAAAAAATTGTTGGACATTTAGTACCTAAATGTCTGGATCTTATTGTCTAATATTGGACGTTATGTGAACAATTCTAAGGCGTGTTTTTCTCAACTATGCAATTTTCATTTTAAGTTGGTCACTAGGTCAAGTGGGTTGCATCTAGGGTTCTAAAGATGCTCTTAGCTAGGATTTTGCTCGATGGAGCAAATATATATTTTGCTCCTACAGGATCATATAATCTGTTCATAGTCTCCTTTTTGTATTTCCTTTGTATACTAGCTATCAAGAGAGGAATGGACTAGTCACTCGGAATTCTAAAGTGAAAATTGGATTTTGCGGAAACGAGTCAAAATCAATTTTTGACAGTTGTGACTAGTCAAGCTACGTTTTGCTTATTAGACCAGCAAACCACCAATATATTTCATAATTTAATTATTATTCTCATTTTTTCTATAGATTAGTTAGTTTAAATTATTCTTTCTTTTTTTTAAATTAGTCACTATGAATTTTATTCACCCAAGAACGATTACAAGGAGGTTCAAAAAGAAAAAGGATGTAACCATCAATGAATGTTGGTGCACACCACCCTTTGCTAAAACATCAGCTTCTATATTAGCCTTCCTAAAACAACGAGATAACTCAAAAGAACCAATACTTAAAATGAAAATGATTTCATCGAAAATACTACATAATCTCCAAGGTGGGTTCACTTCTCCTTTGCTCAAGCAATGATTTTGCCCAAGTAATGGTATTGCTTAATTGCTTAAATTACTTTGTGTCCCTTCACATGTTCTTCAATTTCTCTCTCCAAATATTGCAAATAGTGCTCACCCATAAAGCTCTCCATAGCACCGTCTTAATTTTCGACAAACTAGGGTTCATCCATTGAGAGGGCTAACTCTAGGGTTATTGGGATCAAGATATTTAGATTCAACAACTTTCTACATCAATCCCACATGCCTAGAGTGAAAGGGCAATGTAAAAGAATATGGTCCACACTTTCGTTATCCCTCAAACATAGACTATAAACATTGACAATTATGAAACCTCTCTTACGAAGGTTATCCACAATAGGCAACTTTTTTTGAAGAGCTACCTACAAAAACAACCGAACCTTCAACGACATCTGCAAATTCCATATTCTTGCTAAACTATGATCAACTGCTTTATAATTCTCTTCATGCAGCAGTCGATAGACAGACTTAACTGAAAACTCCTCTGAAGCTGTGAATTCCCACACCAATCGATCATTTTTATTAGGAACATAGAAAACATTATGCAACCGATTCATAAGCAGTTGGAACTCATGAAAGATAGAATCCAAGGCCCTCATGTACCTGCAAACAATATTCCAAGAATTAGTAAAATCAGCTCCTATAAGATCTTTCACTGAGGCCAATGGATTGTCGACTTTGGAGAAGACCTCAGGGAAAGAATCTCGAAGAGCAAGGTCTCCCAGCCACTTATCAAACCAAAACAAGGTTTGATCTCCCTTTCAAACACTTTGCGAACATGGTTAAGATATAATAATCGGCACGCATCAATTCATTTCCAAATACTTAAAAAACCAATCTAGATATTAAACTTTTAATGAGGCCAGTCAGTACATTTACTTCATATTTTTCTTTTAACACCTCTCCCCATAAGCTATCATCTCCCCATAAGCTATCTTACTGATTTTGAAAGCACCACCACCACTTAGTCAATAGGCTAGTGTTCATCAATTTGAACTTTTTTAACTCTTCGCCCATCATCTCTCTTCAAAGTGCATACATTTTCCCAATTCACGAGTTTCAATTTTTTTTTATTCTTACATTGCCCCATAAAAAAGATCTCATAATGTTTTCCAAAGTCTTCATCACCTATTTTGGCACTATGAAAATGGACATAAAATAGATGAGTAAGTTGGAGAAAGTAGAGTTGATAATAGTAGATCTTCCTCCAAATAGCAACACTTTAGACTTCCATAGATCCAGTTTCTTATTAAATATTTCAATAATAGAATCCTAAATAGCAGTCGATTGGTTTCCCCCAAATAAAAGAATACCCAAATATTTGCAAGGAAATTTGGCGAGCCCACATCCTAGAATTTCTTCCAAAGATGCAACCACGTTCTCTGAAACTTCAATCTCAATCAAATTTGACTTTTCTAAATTCACTTTGACACCCATTGCAATTTCCATAGACTTTAAGAACACCCACCAATTCCTCCAATTCCTTACTTCTTGTTCTTCTGAGCTACAAAATATAATAGTACCATCTAAATATTGTAAATAAGATATTGTTAGTCTACCAACTTTAAATCCAGAAATAAGGCCTCTACTCACCACAGAATTCATCATAATACTAAAACTTTCAACCATAATAGTACATAAGTATGGGGACAAAGGATCTCCTTGTCAAATCCCTTTTGACGATTTAAAATAACCAAAAAAATTTCCATTCAAAATGATGGAGAAATGAGTTGACTCCGCTGGATCCACACTCTCCAACGTAATCTAAAGTCCATCTTCCTTAAGATTTCATGCAGAACATGCCAATTCACTTTGTCATATGCCTTTTCAAAACCTATTTTACATAGAGAACTTGGTTTTTACTCTTTCAACCTTGAGTGTATGCATTCTTATGCCATTAAGTTACTGTCTATAATATATTTGTCTCTGAGGAAAGTAAACTGATGACCTCTCACAACCAGATGTAATACTTTTCTCAATCTATTTGCCAAAGTATTTGTAATAATTTTATAGACACTCCCCAGTAGGCTAATAGGCTTATGTCCTTCAAACTCCCACTAACATATTTTTTGGGGAATAAGTAATAAAGGTAGAATTTACTGTTGTCGAGATTTTACCTCTATGATAAAATTCATCCATGTGTAAAAAAAATATCATCTTTTAGAAGCTCCCAAAATGTTTGAAAAAAGGCTAAAGAAAAACCGTCTAGCTCCGGTGATTTATCCCTCCCCAAGGAAAAGACAACACCTTTATCTCATCCATTTCGAAAGGGCTTTCCAGCCATAAAGCCCTTTCTGAAGGTAATCTATCAAAGATGGCATTCTCAAGACTAAAATGATTTATTCTTTTCCATATAAAAGCTTCCTTGAAATGGTTAATTACTATCTAGTTCAGTAATCTCCACATCTCCCATTTTAATTTTACTACTGGAGTTAACCATTTTTCTAGTATTAGCAATATCATGAAAGAATTTAGTATTTCTATCTCCTTCCTTTAACTATTTCACTAGAGATCTTTGCCTCCAATATGCTTCTTCCAATTTCAAAAGGCCATGCAAGGAAGCAAGAGAGTTGTTTCTTTTCCTGTTTTTTTTTTGTGCCACTGATCCTCCCATAAATTGGATCTTATCAATCTTTTCAAAAAAAAAATTGGCCACTGCACTTTTTTTTACTATAGGTTACCCCAAGATTCTTTTTTCCATTTACATATTTCACTCTTCAGCATTTTCAATTTAGTAGTAAATTGATGACCCACCCAACCTTCTATCTTGGTATTTTGGCAAAACTCTTCCACCAACTTAATAAAGCTTCTATCTAATAATCAATTTAGCTTCATTCTAAAAGGTGATGGGCCAAATTTCATACCCATCGAATTCAACAGGAGAGGGACATGATCGAAGGCAATTTTCATTAATGCTTTAACATAAAGATTTGGAAACTTATTAAGAAAGGAGTTGGTCACTAGGAAATTATCCAAGCGGGTAAGGGAAGGGTCTAAAAGAGCATACTCTGACTAGGTGTAGACGGCCCCAATCGAAGGAATGTTCAGAAGTTCATTATTCTGAATAAAAGAATTAAACATGCGCATACAATGAGAGA